GGATTTGAAGGTAGGTTTCAGGGGCATTTATGATTGTGGCTACAGTACCATGATTGTAAATACGAAAAGGAAACAGGTATGAGATTAGAATTTAAAGAGATGACATATAGGAATAATTTTATCTATATTGTAGGATTTTACGTTTCCAGTTGTAGATTTCAAGGTAAGATTGTGTTTAGGAAAGACTGGGAAAGAATATAGCGGGAAAGCATGACTTGTTTAAGTAGACAAAGGGTTTTATGGAATGATTAAAAAAAATAGTTAAGGTTGAAAGGATAAGTGTTGTCCACACAATTGTGTTGGTAAAAATGGAAAGAGATAAATAAGTATGGAGAGGTATGTCAATGGACGTTTTCACACGGGGCTTTTTGAGGAGGCAATCCTACCTCCGTCTGGCCTCACTCCGGCTCCATTTCCACGTAGTTCACATGCGCACGGCGGCAAACCCCGCCCCTTCCGGTGCCATCCCTGCGTCCGTCCGGCTTTTCGTTCCGTGTGTTCAAACGCACGGAGCCCTAAGTCCAGCGTCACTCTGGGTGGCAAAAGGCTAACTCCGGCTTCAGGTAATTCTGGGTGGCAAAAGGAATTAGCCTGCCGCCGACGGAGCCATTCCGGAATCAGCGGCAGGAGCCGTTCCGGAATGGGACCCCCGTGTGAAAATGTCCAATGTGTGAGAATATGGAAAATAAAAATAATGCCAAAAAGAAAAAGAAAGAATTTAAAGACATAGCCATGCGAGTCTTGAAAATCAGTATGCAAAAGGATTTTGTAGCACCTTTGAGACTAACTGAAAGAAAGAAGCTGGTAGCATGAGCTTTCATAGACTTGAATCAGATGCATGGTGTGCAGGGTCCAAGAACAGACCTATATAAGCAGGCTGTGTGTGAGAATAGCAATAAAAATGCAAAACTTGTAGGTAAAGAGATGAGGTGAGAAGACAAGAGGAAGGCAGGAGGACAGATGTTGCCCAAAGCCAAGGTGAGTAGACAATCAAATGAATGGTGGTGGGAGTCACTGGAATATAGTATGAACTGTCCATGGACCTTATCACACGGGGTCTAAAGCAGTGCCATCCCCGTCGCATCCCTGTCCCATTGCGCTTCCTTTTCCCCTGTGTTCACACGACGTCGCACCCATCCCCGTCCCATCCCCGTTCCACTGCGGCATCATCCGGCATCATCCCCGTTCTTTTGAATGCCGGTTTCTTTGGGAATTACATTTTGCCGTGACCAGAATGATACTGGAATGATGCTGCTTTCTGTATACCGGTATAGTTCTGGATTGAAAAGGAACCGCAATGGGACGGGGATGCCACGGGGTTCTTTCTGCTTTAGGTCCCGTGTGATAAGGTCCCAAGAGAGCTCTATGAGGTTGGGATGTTAAGTAGTGTTGTAATGTGTGTGGTGTTCCAGGAAACAACTGTCTCTTTTCAACCTACTGTTGGTGGACTGGAGTTTGTGGATATATTCCAATTCCGCTGTTCCTCTTTCCAATCTCCCTTTGTAGTAGTAGTAGTTGTTGTTCATAGGGTTTTGTTTTGGTTTCTTTTTGGTTTGTTGGACTGTCTTGGTCAGTTATTCACATCTCCTTCCTAATTCTCAGCCAGCATCATATTACATTCCAATAACCTCCACTGCCATTCATTTGGTTATTTACTCACCTTGGCTTTAGGCAGCATCCTTCCTCTTGTCTTTGTCCCCAATGACCATCATTACATCTGAACTTGTCATTGTATCCCCTATTACCATTTATGGATGTGAGAGCTGGAGAGTTAAGAAAGAGGATAGGAAGAAAATCAATTCCTTTGAGATGTGGTGCTGGAGAAGGGTGCTGAGGATCCCATGGACAGCCAAAAGGACAAACAAATGGGCCCTAGAGCAGATCAAACTGGAAACCTCCCTGAAAGCCAAGATGACCAAACTGAGACTATCGTACTTTGGACACATCATGAGAAGGAAGGACTCACTGGAAAAAAATAATGCTAGGAAAAGTGGAGGGAAGTAGAAAGAAAGGAAGGTTGCATGCTAAATGGATGGACTCTATAAAGGAGGTCACAGGTATTAAGGGGTTGCAGGATTTAAGCAGAACAGTGGAGGACAGAGGGTCTCATCCATAGGGTTGCCATGAGTCGAGATCTACCTGAGGGCAGTTAACAACAAACACCTCATCACATACCCACAGGTTTTGCATTTCTATGCCCATTCTCACACTTATATATGTTCGTCCCTGGACCCACCACTCCATGCATCTGAGGAAGTAGATTCAAGTCTACAAAAGCTCCAGTTATGAGATTGTAAGTCTAACATACAACATCATAATGGATTATCAGGATGCCTGGCAAGTTAAGCCACTTTGGTTATTTTCTTTAAAGTTCAGACTATCACCCAGAGTGGATCAATCGCCCAAGTGATAAAGAAGCCACCAGCTGCTACTGAGAACTTCTCCGCTGTCTAATTTTTTAAAAAAACGTTGACTGTGAGAAACTTAGAAAAGTTCAGAACTGACACTCAGCAGACTCTATAAAGAAAGAGTAAGGGTTAGTGTTTTGACGTATGATGTCATGTGGTAAATTTGAATGGCAAAATGTGATATTTTCAGAAACTTTTGTTTTATCTGAGAAAAAGCACCCATCTGAATAATCATGCCTAGCAAATTTGTGATAGAAGCCTGTTGTTGTGATTCCCTGACCGGGAATGATCTCAGACAGACAGCTCGTGGCATCTAC